CAGTATATATATATATATATATATATATATATATATATATATATATACCATGTTCATGTCAAGTCTTTTATTTAGCATATATTTCAAAGTACTTGAATTTAATAAGGGCTTAATTAAACGATTGAAAACGGCTATAAAATGGATAATGGTAGTAGTATTTCTGTTTTATGGGGGGAAAAAAAATCTTCCATCATAGCAGCTGCTGTTGCATGTTGCCAGAAGTGGTTTATGTGATATTTATGGAGCAATGACATTTCATGCAGTTGTTGATCTGGAGTGGAAATGACAGATGGAGAAATTAAGTTTCTTTGTTCATTATGTCTGAATGAGTCTTTGTGTCAATGACTGAGGGGGGAAAAACAACTAAAAAGGAAACATTCTGAATTCTGTCATGTTTCTAAATACATTATTCTTTGTGTATATGAATAGGCATAATGAGATGGCAGTGAATTAGTACTCCACAGTGGCTCTGAAACATCCGTGAGGAATTTTTACATGTAAATATCAGCTTTTCAAGCGGAGCACTGAACATTTGGTGTGTAGTTTGTGGTGATATTACAGATGCAGCGTTATAAATCAGTGCTTGAGTGTGATGTCTGACAGTGGGAGATTTTTGACCATGATTCTGCTTGTTGTTTTCTCACAGAGCCATTACTCTGGACAATACGCTGGTCATCCTGTCCACCGTGGCCCCAGATGCTGGAAGATACTACGTACAAGCTGTAAATGACAAGAATGGCGAAAACAAGACTGGCCAGCCCATAACACTGTCAGTGGAAAGTAAGTCTGTAGAGATTTAGAAGATGTGCTTGGACTTCCTCATGTGGGCTAAAATTAATTATATGATATTATAGATGCCAGCTACTGTATTAAAACTAGGGATTTGCATATATTAAAATTCTGACCAATAATTTTCATGTTATTGCCAATACACTCTTTTGTTTTTGAAAATATTGGTTTATTAAAATTTGTTTATTTAAAAAATTTGATTAGAAAATCGTTTTAGAAAATAACTGTTTTAGTTTTTAGTAGGTTCTAAATTTGTTTATAAAATAAATAAAGAAGTAAAATAATAAACACACACACACACACACACACACACTTTTTAATTTTTTATGAACAAATTTATTTATATAAAAAAGCACTACAACCTACTAAAAACTAAAACAGTTTGAAAGTTTGAATGAATATATTGCTAGCTCATATCTGCGATGAAAATATATACATTTTATCGATATTTCAGGTTAAGGTTGTACTTTTTTCAAAAAAATAATTTAACAAATACTAAAATGTAAAAACTAAAATTACTAAATTAAAAAAAAATACATATGAACGATTTGATGCTAATATTCCAATAAATATATTTGTTTATTTATTAATTTTAATACTGTGACACTTAGTACAGTGAAAGAACAAATACATATGCATATATTTCTGTTCTCATTTCCCCATGTTCATATGCGAAAGAATGGAAGTACCCCTGTAAATATTACAAAGTTTTGAATCTTGCCTTTCTATTTTAGACAACATGCTGTTTAAATGAACATATAAACCTGTGAACAACAGACTATAGACGAATACATATTTGTGACCCTGGACCACAAAACCAGTCATAAGGGTCAATTTTTTTGAAATATAGAATAAATAAGCTTTCCATTGATGTATGGTTTGTTAGGAAAGGGAAGTATTTGACTGAGATACAACTATTTGAAAATCTGGAATCTGAGGGTGCAAAAAAAATCTAAATATTGAGAAAATCACCTTTAAAGTTGTCCAAATGAAGTTCTTAGCAATGCATATTACTAATCAAAAATGAAGTTTTGATATATTTACGGTAGGGAATTTACAAAATATCTTCATGGAACATGATCTTTACTTAATATCCTAATGATTTTTGGCATAAAAGAAAAATCGATAATTTTGACCAGTACATTGTATTTTTGGCTATTGCTAAAAATATACCCCAGCAACTTAAGACTGGTTTTATGGTCCAGGGTCACATTTGCTTTCTGTCTGTGACAGTGCTTTGTTTCAATCTCGCAGCTTCCACAGCGAGAATATTGACAGTTATGGATTGTACTTTATAAGAGTTTCAGTATATCAGAGTCTCCCAGCAAACCAGGATATGATATTTTTGAGTCTAATACAGGAGGAACTAAAGAATGGTGCAGAGACAGTGAGAAGATTAGAGATCGTGGGCGGTGTGTGTGTGTGTGTGTAGAGGCCAGTCCTTCCCAGAAGCTGTAGTTGAATATCAGTGCTTTACAGAGACTGTCTCTGACGGACCTCCACACACACACACACACACACACACATAACTGCCATGAGAGCAGATATATAAGTTCCTCTTCCAAACACAAACCTGTCACACTTGCTGTAACACGTACAGTATATCGGCTGGCACTTACTACATCTGGACACACTCACACCTGAAGATGACAGATCGGAGTTCTATTAAAAACACTCACTCGATAATGTCCTTTACCTGTGTGTCATAACACACTTGCTCAAGCTCTCATCGTTTTCTCATTCTCACATTTCTTTTCTGCTGTAGATGTTGGTGGTCCTGCAGACCCCATCGCTCCCACCATTGTCATCCCACCGAGGAACACCAGTGTCATCTCCGGCACCTCTGAGGTCACCATGGAGTGTGTGGCCAACGCTAGGTGACTGACCTCTGATTCCTTCACAGTTTGAATGAAAGGAAAATGACTTTAATTATGGTGATTATGAGGCGAGCAGTGGATTGAAGTCTGTCAATTTTTTTCTTTTTCTCACCACTTTTCTGCAATTATTTCATGTGACGTACAGACTCCATTGAAGCTTAGTCTTATGCTTTTGGATTTTATCAACTTAATTTTTTTACGAAATTTCTTCAGGAAATGCAAAAGTAGTAAATGAATGTTCTGGAGTTGACCAAATCAATGGCATGATATTAATTACAAAAGACAAAAAACTGTATACAGCTTTTAAAATAGTGTTTACGAAGTGCTTCAAAGACACAAATATTTACTTAAAAGATTTAAATTTTTATGGATGGAGAAAAAAAATAAGAGCACATGGAAATAAAAGGAATAAGAAATGAAACACCAAGCATTTGCATAATTAAATAAATGATGGTTTTTGTTGTAAAAAAAATAATTTTGTTATTTAAATAACATTTCTAAAAAAGTCATAAAAATAAAATAATTTTAAATTACAGTGAAAGTCTGTGGTAAAAGTCAATAATTTTTATTTTTTTTTAGTATTTACAAAAATAAATACATTTTACATTTACCCAAAATGTATTTTAAGATGGAAAAGATGGATGGAAAAAGTGGATCACCAGCTTTCTGACAGATAGGCAGCAGCTAGTGAGACTGGGGAAATTAATGTCAAACAGCCGCTCCACCAACACTGGTGCCCCTCAAGGTTACGTCCTCTCCCCACTGCTCTTCTCCCTGTACACCATCGAATGCACCTCTGAAGACCCCCTCTGTCAAGCTCCTGAAGTTCGCAGATGACACCACACTTATCAGCCTCATTCAGGACGGTGATGAGTCTGCTTACAGACAAGAGGTTGAGCAGCTGGCTGTCTGGTGCAGTCTTAACAACCTGGAGCTCAACACGCTCAAAACAGTGGAGATGATCATGGTCTTCAGGAGAAACACCCCTGCACCCCCCCTAATTACCATCATGGACAGCACTGTAAAAACAGTGGAGTCATTCAGATTCTTGGGAACCACCAATCTCTCAGGACCTGAAGTGGGACACTCACATCGACACATCGACATTGTAAAAAAGGCCCAACAAAGGTTGTACTTCCTTCACCAGCTGAGGAAATTCAACCTGCCACAGGAGCTGCTGAAACAGTTCTACTCAGTCATCATCGAGTCTGTCCTGTGCACATCAATAACTGTCTGGTTTGGTTCAGCTACAAAATCAGACACCAGTAACCACAAATACCAGGACAGACAGGCACAAGAACAGTTTCTTCCTCCAGGCAATCAACCTTATATATCCCCCCCATTGTGCAATACAGATATGTGCAATATCCTTATATTTATTTGTTACCACCTCCATCCTAGTACATCCCTGCATCTCACTTTATTCTATTCCTATTCTATCATCTATAGCACAACTGTACATACAATTTATTCTATTTTATTTTATTTTAATAAAAAAAAAAAATTGTCCCTTCGAGTACATTTTAGCATTTGAAAGGTGTATTTCCTTCAGCAATGCTGTTTATACCATATATTTCATATGTTTTAAATATATTTTGGCCAGGTAATTTTATTTATTTTTTTTTATTTTTATTTTTTGCCATTTATGGTTTCACATACTATTTTTCAAATGCAGTATTCAATGTATACTGCACAATATGAAAATGTATTATGTAGCATATGTTTTAAATATATTTTGGCCAGGTAATTTTATTTATTTTTATTTATTTTAATTTTTTGCCATTTATGGTTTCACATACTATTTTTCAAATGCAGTATTCAATGTATACTGCACAATATGAAAATGTATTATGTTTTAGACAGATAGATATGTATGCATTGCTAGTGTTTTCTCTGCTATCCTCATGTGTATCACCATCTTTAAATGGTCATGACATGAGTGAATTATAAAACATTGAAATGTTAACAAGAACAATAAAAATTTTAACCATAATCTTTTTTCTACACCATTTTAATTCTCTATCAGGCCACTAATAAAGCTGAGCATTAGTTGGAAGAAGGATGGTGTTCCGGTGAGGAGTGGACTGAGTGATTTTAACCGTAGACTGACGGTGTTGAGTCCAGTGGTCAGTGATTCTGGCTTCTACGAGTGTGAAGCGGTCCTCCGCAGCAGCAGCGTTCCCTCTGTCAGCGCTGGAGCGTACCTACATGTGCTCGGTAATACACAGTTATACACCAGTTTTTTCTTGTAAATTTGAGTGTAAATAAATCCACAAGTGCATTAGAAATCCATGAATGACATGTTTTGTGCCATATTCTTTATTTTTGTAGCAGTTTTTTAAATGTATTTCCCCCCAAAGTGCATTACGTAACTTTTACAAGCCGCTTTTGGAACTGTACTTTTAAGACTATAATTTAAATCCCCTCTGTTTTGATTAGCTAGCCTCACCATAATGTAGTACATGCTGTTGTACATTATGCCAGGAGATTGAATACTAAAAAAGTGCTGATATACAAATGTTCTACTGTAAAAAAAATAAAATAATAATAAATCATTTTCAGACTAATATTCTGCTCATTATAATCAGTGTGCTGAGTTAACCTCTTCAATTCAGCACAAAAATCGATATTCACTGAGCAACAGTGAACATGTTGAAGCTAATGAGCATATGCAGAAGAAAAGAAGCCAAATGAACAGAAAGTACCGTAAAAAGACATTGCAGCAAAGCTTGACTTGGGTGACAGTTCAATCATACATTGTGCCTGTAGCTCAAATAAAAGCACTGATGTTACAGATTATTATTTTTGCTGAGTACTATTTAGCAAAAATGCATGAAAAAAATACATTAAAAAGATTTAGTAAGCCAACTAGGAATTGTATATGTGACTAGTCACTATTTACAGTTTATGTCTCCTTTAGGGCCATTTTCCTATCTATATCTCTATGGAAATGTTCTGTTGTCAGAGTGAAATCAAAACGCCTGAACAGGATGTTTTCAAAAATCCAACAATAGTCCTATTTATTTGAAAATGTTCAATCTTGCTTCCTGTGTTGTTTGTCTGTGGTTTTCAAGTGCACATGTGGAGGTCACAAGCCTCTCTCTCTTGCTCTTTCTTTCCTGCAGAACCACCTCAGTTTGTGAAGGAACCAGAAAAACACATCACAGCTGAGATGGAAAAGGTAGTGGACATTCCCTGCCAGGCCAGAGGTGAGACGCCTTCTGACATCTCACCCTAATGAGGTTTTTCAAGCATCAAGTCCTTTTTTTCTGTTCTTACTGACAGCAGCATGCTGCACAAAGCACCCACAGTTAATCAGAATACACACACACACACACACACACACACACACACATTTATTATTATTATTATTATAAAAATATATATTATATATATAATATATATTTTATATTTTATATATAATTCAGTTAGTTTAATAATTAATACATTATAATTTATTTATTTATTTATTTATTAATTAATGTATATGTGTGTGTGTGTTTACATTATTTTTATAGTAATAATAGTAAGAGTAATGATATGTATACAGCATTTGTTTATAAACAATATTTATTGTTTATTAATTTATTTATTAATGTTTAAGAAATGATTTATTCTTACATAATAAATTAAATAGAATAAATGGGAATAAAATATAATATCTTTATTTATTTTATCTTTATCTTTATAAATGTATTTATACATGTAATATACTATACATTTATTTATAAATGTAATATACTATATATTTATCATAACTTAATATACATTTTAATCTATATTTCATATATTATTATTACATTATTATATTTATTATTTATAATATTTTATTGTTGAATTCATATTATTTTATATATCATATTATACCGTTTTCTCTTAATTCAATTGGTCACCTTTACATATATGCCCATTCATCTCAGGTGTGCCTCAGCCTGATATTGTGTGGTACAAGGACGCAGTACCCATAAGCCCCGTGAAGACCCCGCGCTACAGAGTGCTGGCAGGAGGTAGTCTCCAGGTTAACGGCCTTCTGCCCGATGACACCGGAATGTTCCAGTGCTTCGCCCGCAGCCAGGCCGGAGAGGTGCAGACCAACACCTACCTCGCCGTTACGAGTGAGTTCATCTGCCTATCCCTCTCTACACCTTTCCTCTCTGCCTCACATGCTCTCATACACTAATGCACAAATACATGTGCACGTTTATTTCCTCTGCCTCTCTCTCTCTCCGTCTGTCTCTTTCTCTCGCAGAAAGGCTGTGAATGCCATACCGACAATGCCTTTCTGTCTTTCTTTCTTTCTTTCTTCCAGTCTTCGTTCTCTCTCGTGTCGCTGATGTGCTTTTTGTCGGCGTGCTAAAGCTGTGATTAATACCCTGTTGTGAGGAAGAGTTGTGGGGAGGAGAGAGACCGACAGAGAGATGGGGAGAGATAAAGAGGGCTTTTATAGAGGACTGACTGAGCTTATCTTGCCGCTCAGAGACACATAGAGCTCTCTAAAACACTAAACACCAGAGCTAGCCGCTATTTACCTCTGCTTACTGCTCTTGGATATGGACAATATTGAAGTTAAAGGGGTAGTTTATCCAAAATTAAAATCTTGTCATGTCGTTCCAAACCTGTATGACTTGCTTTCTTCTGTGGAACCCAAAAGGTGATATTTTGGGGAACTGATTTTGTCCAAACAATGGAAGTCAATGGGGTCCAAAACAACACTGGACAATGAACTATGTGGCCCTGGATCACAAAACTAGTCTTAAGTAGCATGTGTATATTTATAGCAATAGCCAACAATACATAGTATTATCGATTTTTATTTTATGCCAAAAATCATTAGGATATTAAGTAAAGATCATGTTCCATGAAGATATTTTGTACATTTCCTACCATAAATATATCAAAACTTAATTTTTAATTAGTAATATGCATTGCTAAGGACTTAATTTGGACAGCTTTTAAGGCGATTTTCTCAATATTTTTATTTTTTTGCACCCTCAGATTCCAGATTTTCGAATAGATGAATCTCAGCAGAATATTGTCCAATCCTAACAAACCATTCATCAGTGGAAAGCTTATTTATTCAGAAATCTCAACTTTAACAAATTGACCCTTATGACTGGTTTTGTGGCCCAGTGTCACATATAAGGTTTTGTTCTCCACAGAAAAAAAAGTAAGTCATACAGGTTTGGAATGAAATGAGGGTGAATCAATAATGACACAATTTTAATTTTGAGGTGAAATATTCCTTTAAGTGTTATCAACCGCCCACCTCCAAAATCTCAATTTAACTTGCTTGTCTACATTTCCCAGTGAATTGTTTTTTGTTCTGTTGTTCAACTTTTTGTCTCATACCTGCTTTCATTCCGTTGTTTTCTTTACTTGTTTGGTTTCTAAGCCGCGCTTTGATCCGTGTGAATGGAGTTTTGTGTGATTTCCCAGCGCTTGCGAATGCGAGGAGGTGTTTGAACTTGCGTGTGCCGCTATACGTCTCTGTTTCTCATGCAGTTGCTCTGCTTCTCTCACAGGCATAGCACCGAACATCACAGCAGGGCCTTCCGACAGCACTGTGATTGACGGCATGTCAGTTATCCTGCACTGTGAGACCTCAGGAGCGCCCCGTCCTGCCATCACCTGGCAGAAAGGTGAAGAACACATCCTTCATTGTCTCCACTCACACATCATTTCAGAAGAACAACTACAAAGTGTCAGCTCCCAGGCTACACTTCACCTCAGCGCCGCTCTGTTCCTCTGTTTTACCTGCTCTGGCTGGTTATTTTCTGCCACTCTATTGCAATGTCACATTGACATCTTATACTGTTCTGATGTCATCAGGCATGAAAATGATTTGACATAAGCTACAATTATGCAAATATACATACAAAAAAAATTATGTATGTACAATACAGTTTGGGGTCTGCAAGACTTTTTGATGTTTTAAAAAGAAGTCTCACCGAAGTGGCATTTATTTGATTAAAAATACAGTAAAAACAGTAATATTGTGAAATACTATTATAATTGTAACTGTTTTGAAAATGTAATATATTGTAAAATGTAATTCATTGCTATGATGAAAATTCTAATATGCTGATTTGGTGGTGAATTATTATCAATTATTATTGGTGCTCATTTATTAATAATGGTTCTTATTATTACTGTTAATTTCTTGTTTTAAAGGTTCAATGAACAGCATTTATTTAAAACAGAAATCTTTTGTAACTATGTCTTGTATGACTGTCATTTTTGATCAATTTAATGCTTCCTTGCTGAATGAAAGTAGTAGTTTCTTTCTTTCTTTCTTTCTTTCTTTCTTTCTTTCTTTCTTCCCAAACTTCGAAAAGGTAGTATATTATGGTTTCCACAAAATATTAAACAGCAAAAACTGTTTTCAGTTTTGTACTGTTGACTTACCCCAAACTTCGAAAAGGTAGTATATTATGGTTTCCACAAAATATTAAACAGCAAAAACTGTTTTCAGTTTTGTACTGTTGATAATAATAGCAAATGTTTCTTAAGCACCAAATCAGTATATTAGAATGATTTCTGAAGGATCATGCGACACTGAAAACTGGAGAAATGACCAGTGAAAATTCAGCTTTGCCATTGCAGAAATACATTTTAAAATCTATTAAAATAGAAAACAGATATTTTAAATTAATACTATTTTAGAATATTACTGCTGTACTGTATCTTCGAACATTACATGTTCAAATACATGAATATGACAAAACAAAAACATTAAAAATATTAATTATTTCAAACATTTGGCCAGAGGCCAAAATAATCCACTGAGGGTCGTAATTTACTGTGATTTTACCACAGTAAAAGGGTGTCGTTAAGCATGACACAAAGCAGAGTGTTTAAAACTCCCTTAAAAATGTTATCAGCTTTCTTGAACAGCCAATCTACTTCTGTTTTCCCTTTCAAGTTTTAATAAAAGTCATTGTAGAAGCTTCAAATACATCTTTATCCATAACTATCTGAAATATAAGATATCGTTTGCCACAAAATTACGATTTTGTAAGGAAATAATTGTATAGAAGACCAACAAATTCGAGGAGAATGCCCGTCCCCTGCACCGTGCTTTACATTTCATGCTGGAGCAGAAGGATAGTAAATAAGCATGCTTGTGGCTTTAAAGGATTAGTTCACCCAAAAATGAAAATTCTGTCATTGTTTACTCACCCGTCTGTTGGTCCGAACCCATATGACGTTTCCTGTGGAACACAAAAGAAGTTTAAAGGAATTGTCTTGGTCCCTCATCGTCCTAGCTCTTTGTGTATAGCTATATCTGATTAGTAAACAAATAATTCATTTGAGTCAAAGCTTTTCAAAGAATCAGTTGCAGCTCACTGGAAGGGAACATTCAGTTCATCATAACTTAAAATTGAAGGCAGTTTCTCACATAAAACTACAGCATGATTTCAGAAGACTTGGAATATAGCACATGAGCCATATTGACCACCTTTATTATACTTCCATAGAAGCTTGAAACCTTCACTCAATATCCTTCTCGCAGTATTGACATTTTTTTATTTCCCTTTAACAATAAAATAATCCTCTAAAAAAGACATTTTGTGTTCTTTCAGTCTATTGTGAATGCAGATTTTGTGAGCTTAAATCGGATAGTTTAATAAAGATGTAATTTAAGATGACTAATAATATAATATAATATAATCTTTTTTTATTTAATAAATCATATTATTTAATTGCATTAATAATTAAAATTGCGTATGTTTTTATTATAGGTTTATACAAAAAAAAAAAATTATCTTTTTCTTTTTCTTTTATATAGGCTTTATATTTGTAATGCAACTTGGCTGATTTTATACTGGTTTATATAAACCAAGTTGCATGTCAAACATTAAGCCTGTAACAATGTTTACATTGTAACAAAAATGACACTTATGTATGTATGTCTGGGTATTTGTTCTCCACAGGAGAACGAGTGCTGGCAAGCGGTTCGGTTCAGCTCCCGCGGTTCACTCTCCTAGAGTCAGGAAGTTTACTCATAAGCCCCTCCCACATATCAGACGCCGGCACCTACACCTGCATGGCCAGCAACTCCCGAGGTATAGACGAGGCTTCAGCCGACCTCGTGGTCTGGGGTGAGTGTGTGTGTGTTTTGAAGTGTATAGATCACAGACTATCTTTGTACTTTAGGATGTCCATGTTTAAGTGTGTTTGCAGGTTTGTGTCATACACCTGTGCATATACTGATGTGAATTTCCTTTGTTTTATCAAACAGCACGTACACGCATCACTAATCCTCCTCAGGATCAGAGCGTCATCAAAGGAACAAAAGCCACCATGACCTGCGGTGTGACGCATGACCCCAGTGTCTCAGTCAGGTGCGCCCACATACACTTGACTGCAAATAATTGTTGTAAACACAAAACACTTCGCATTTTTTTAAGCTACTTTTATGCTAATGCAACCATGTGGGTGGAGAAAAAGAATAATATTTAGCTAGATTTTAACATTTTTTTTTAAAAATTATGAATGTTTTATCTTCAGAATGCTTTGTAGGGCATTACTATACAGTTGCTAAGGGATTTTAGTGCATTGCTTTGCAGTCCCGAGGTGTCTGTAATATTATTTAGTCCCTAAATACTCTTAAGGTACAACTTGAGATTTTATCGTATTTACATAGTAGTAAATGTAATGATCCACAGTTCTAAAAATGTGGGTTGCTAGGGTATTTTTTGGTGATTTTGGTTCTGGTTCTGGGTCATTGCTGGGCCACTACTGGGTGGATTCTAGATAGTGATACACTGATCATGATTTTTCATGGCCGATTCAGATTTTTTACAAGCTAATTGGCCGATTCCGATGCTGATTTTTTTCTTTGTTCGAGCAAATTTATTTGTTGTTTATTTGTTCTATAACAAGTAAACTGCAAAATATCTGTAGCGATTTGAAATTAGAGGCAACCATTGCATTTTAATCACTATCCAAACAAAAATGTAACACACATGTAGCATGAACACTTGTTTTTGAATTAGATACTTTCATAATAATTGCATAATTTTAAGATTTAAAGCAAAAACAGAGTGGTCTGACTTTAGATCTGTGAAACTATGCTACATAAGACACCTGCACAAAACAAAAACTACAGACGACTGAATAAAAATGCAAATTCACTTTCTGACAGTAAGTGGCGCTTCTGGAACAGCAGCAATATAGTGTTTCCTTGGTTGCTGCTGTAAACAAAGCAGCGCTGCACTTATAAACATGCTTTTACACAAAACTATTGATCGCCTTATGTTAATTCATGCCAGCACGCTAGGTGGAGCTGACCAACAATGCATTTTTCCTGTTTCTTGTATATGGATTTAATATCGTCCGCTGCTTATTAATATACAGCAAATGATCGCACCTGGTCTGAATAGCCCAATAAGGATCTATTGTTTTGATTCAAAAGTGTCATCGTGCCATTTTTTTGCGTTCAGTGTGAAAAGGCATTAACAGGCATTATACGGAGATAAGAGGAAAAGAAAATGCCTGAAGACGGTCAGATCTCTTCAGTTATACATTCATGTATCTCCTCATCCCCAATTCAGTATTTAGGATTTTTTTCTAATATTTGGCGCATCGCGAACAGTGACTTTGCTCTGCCTGCTACAGTATTTTCTCCTCTTTGCGACCATCTTCAGTGTCTTTGGCCTCTGTTAGCATCCTGTTTACAGATTTCGTAATATTTCCACACAAATGACATTTTGGGAAATGATTGCAATGCAGTTTGTGTACAATTCCTGGAATAAAGCTCGGACAAAATAAAACAAACAAAAAAAAAAACTCTAGAACTTGAGATGCACCAGTCGACCGGCCATAAATCGGAACCAGACAGTTTTTTCTCCAAACATGCCGATTCTGATTTATGGCCCGTTGACTGGTGCATCTCTAGTTCTAGAGTTTTGGGTGGTTCATTACAATTTGTTTGCTAAAAAAACATTCTTATTGACAATCGAACAACTGCTAAACTAACGGTAACATAGCCATTTTGTTTGCTTATATGTTTTTAAACAGCGTTGGCAATGGAGCACCTAGGAATGTCTTAGTAGGAATATCTCACATCCAACTTGGAATGGAATGCAAGGGTTGTTAAAATGCTTAACCCTGAGTATGAGCCCTAGTGATAGTGATGCATGCCTTAGCAATATCATAGTCTCCCATGTTTCACGGGATTCAAATCCTGATGGATAAAATCGTCTAGCATTAATGATGCCGCACCAGCGTGAAATCATGAGCCATTACATTATCTCAACATTTACAACCCCCGTATAGTTCCCCAGAATCCTTTGAATCTGCCTGCAATCCCAGTGCGCTCAATTGGAAGTCTACAGCTTCAACCGTCCTCCATTACAGCAGTCCGACATCGAGGAGTGATTAGAAGGCAAGATTCAGACTCTCATTAAAAACCTGCAAACTTCCAGGGTTCCTCTCAATGAGAACCTGAACTTCACTCAGTGACGGCTTTTAAGAGTGCTTTTTTTTTTTTCAGTGATTCAGTCAGGCTCCCTCTCTGTCTTCCTCTTCCTTGTCTTTCTCTCCTCCTTAACCTCCTTCCGAACACCCGTGGAGGCTTTTCGCTTATTTCGTAAAGAATGAGGGATGAGAAGGAAGGGTAATTGTGTTGGATAGAAGCAGTAATTGATAGCAGCATTAAAAGGATTTCCAACAAGCCAGGCCATGATGCAATTAATCATGAGTGTTTGTGAATGCGTATCTGTTTCCAGCGTGTGTGTGAGAGTCTTATCGATTACGCAGAGCTTGGACACATCTGTTAGAAGCTTCTGATGACCTTGGATGTTCCCTGATCTCTGTGCATTGTCTTTGTGATGAATGTAATATGTGGAACTACTCTGTTAAATACTCTGCTTCATACACACAGGTGTCATACGGTAACTATGTCTGCCAGACCAGCGGCACAAAGGAACTGCTGCTTTGCAGGCAATTAAATGATCAAATAAATCATACTATCAAATGTTGTCCTTTCCAAAAAGTTTGTTTTGGGTGGCTTCAGGGGTTTTAGATGGATGCTAGAACAGTCTGGGTCGTTGCTAAGGTGTTACTAGGTAGATACTAGAACATTCTAGGTGGTTGCTATGCCATTATAAGGTGGACGTTAGTGTATCAGGTTGCTAGGTGAATGCTAGAATGTTCTAGGTGGTTGCTGAGTGTTGCTAGGTGGATGCTAGAACGTTGTAGGTGGTTGCTATGCTGTTATTATATGGATGTTAGTGTATTTGGTTGCTAAGCCATTGCTAGGTGGATGCTAGAATGTTCTGGGCGGATGCTAGGGTGTTACTAGGTGAATCCTTGAGTGTTTTGGGTGATTGCAGGGGCTTTACTAGATGGATGCTAGAACAGTCTAAGTGGTTGCTAGGGTGTTACTAGGTGGATGCTAGAACATTTTAGGTGGTTGCTGTGTGGTTTTTAGGTGGATGTTAGTGTATTTGGCTGCTATAGGCCATTGCTGAGTGGTTGCTATAGTGTTGCTAGGTGGATGCGAGAATGTTCTGGGTGGTTGCTAGGGTGTTACTAGGTGAATCCTTAAGTGTTTTGGGTGGTTGCAGGGGTTTTACTAGGTGGATGCTAGAATGTTCTGGGTGGTTGCTAGGGTGTTTCTAGGTGAATCCTTGAGTGTTTTGGGTGATTGCAGGGGCTTTACTAGATGGATGCTAGAACAGTCTAAGTGGTTGCTAGGGTGTTACTAGGTGGATGCTAGAACATTTTAGGTGGTTGCTGTGTGGTTTTTAGGTGGATGTTAGTGTATTTGGCTGCTATAGGCCATTGCTGAGTGGTTGCTATAGTGTTGCTAGGTGGATGCGAGAATGTTCTGGGTGGTTGCTAGGGTGTTACTAGGTGAATCCTTAAGTGTTTTGGGTGGTTGCAGGGGTTTTACTAGGTGGATGCTAGAATGTTCTGGGTGGTTGCTAGGGTGTTTCTAGGTGGTGCAAGAATGTTCTGGATGGTTGCTAGGGTGTTACTAAGTGGACGCTATAATGTTCTGGGTGGATGCTAGGGTGTTACAAGGTGGTTGCATGGGTTTTATTACTAGATGGATGTTAAATCAGTCTAGGTGGTTGCTAGGGTGTTACTAGATGGATGCTGGAATATTGTAGGTGGTTCCTATGCTGTTATTACATGGATGTTAGTGTATTTGGTTGCTAGGCCATTGTTATGTGGATGCTAGAATGTTCTGGGTGGTTGCTAGGCTGTTAACTTGGTGGATACTAGAGTGTTCTAGATAGTTACTAGGATTTTACTAGATGGATGGTGTGGTTGCTAGGGCATTATTAAGAGGTTCCTAGGTGTTTCAGATGGTTGCTAGGTCTTTGCTAGACGGTTGCTGGGGCGTTTCTACTTACTTCTAATATGTTGCTTACAGGTTTTCAGGATTTTTGATGTAGAGGATTGAAGTAGTGAAGAGTAACCTAAATCGTAACCTAAATTTTCCCTATCAATTCAAACCCAAATGGATCCAATTACGTCCCACTGTACAATTTTTCCACTTAATATTCTGTTTGACTCCGAAATATGTCACATTAGAAAGTGCATTGTATTGGATTTGATTTTATCTGTAATTGAATAAATTAATAAATGGTTTAAAAAATGATGGTCACAATAATGGTCTCGAAATGAGCTGATATTTGTAGACTGTTGTTATTGTTGGTGTTTGTGTGTGCATTCAGGTTTGTTTGGGAGAAGGAAGGTCAGGTGATCATCCTTCAGTCTCTGCCTCGACTGCGGCTGGATGTCAACGGGACGCTGCACATCTCTCAGACCTGGTCAGGTGACATCGGCACATACACCTGCAGAGTGACATCGGTGGGCGGCAATGATTCCCGCAGCGCGCACTTACGCGTGAGGTCAGAGATGAAAACCCACTTCCATCATCCTCTGTGCTCTGTTCCCTAGCCACGAAGTCCTTCATCTCTTCTGATCATTTCTTTTTGATTTGTTCTCTCTCTGCTCGCTGAATCGTATCTCATTCAGTTTTTCAATATCCCTATTTATCACCTGCTCTCATTCTGCCTCTTTTTCTGTCTCGTTGCCTCCATTTTTTAATTTAATAGCACAGCAGTTATTGTCTGCCCTCTTTTTTCTTTTATTTCTGTTCATCTTCATCTTTCTCTTTTTATCTATCAAACATATTGTGATTCACCCTGTCTCTTTCTTTTTTGTGTAATGTTCATGTCTCTTATCGATTGATGCAGCAATCTTATAGTCATTTTATACTCACTCATTCATTTCCATGTTTCACCACTGTCTAACATTCCCATTCTCTTAAAACTCTTCTTTTCTTCATGTCTTATGTAAAGAAAGGATAATGAAAAAGTGGTATTCTGTACTTAATGTATATGTTGCATTTACAGTTGATGATGAGAGGTTGTAGCTTCTTGTTAAATTCAATAATGTTGTTAAAACTTGACAACTAGTATTTAACATGGATGGTTCTAAATTATTCATTAATGTACTTGTTTTATTCAGACATCATGGAGTGCACATTAAATGGCCCTGAAAAGTCAAGACTATCTCACGCTTTTACATTTTAAATAACATATTGCCCACAGGCAGTTACCTCATGCCCCTGAGAACCCCAGCGCAGTGTTAAGCACCACAGAGAAGAGAGCTATAAACCTGACATGGGCCAAACCTTTTGACGGGAACAGCCCTCTCATCCGCTACATTCTGGAAGTGTCTGAAAACAGTGAGTAAAGACCTCATATGTGGATCATTAATCTTGGGCAAGTTGTGTGACATTGATGTAGTTACCTTGTTACGAATTTCAATGATGATGTTTTGAAAGTCATAATGTAAAATAGAGCAAGTTATTATTATTATTATTATTATTATTATTATTATTATTATTATTATTATTATTATTATTATTATTATTATTATTATTATTATTATTATTATTAATGTTTGTAATATGAATAGAAATGATTTGTTTATCATAATTATAACATTACTATTATTATTATTATTATTATTATTAAAGCAATACAATTGATATAATTACAATACAGTATAATTGTCTATAATAATAATAATGTTATTATTATTATTATTTAACATCATTAAACTAAAATTAACATCAATTAACTTTTTTATAATAACATCATCATCATCATCATTAATAATAATAATAATAATCATCATCATCGTCATCATAATCATAATCATAATTTAATATGAATACAAATGTTTGTTTATAGTAATAATAATAATGTTGTTATTATTAAATGTCATTAAAATAAAATGAACATCATTATTATTATTAATACTACTACTACTTCTACTAATAATAATAATAACAATAACAATAACAAAAATAATGTAATACGAATACAAACGTTTGTTCATAATAATAATAATAATAATAATAATAATAATAAACAACGACCATAGTATTTTTTGTACTATTTAATATTATTGTTTATTATAGGGTTCAGCAAACAAACAAACATTAAAAAGTAATTGGTGCTACGTTATCGATTTTTCATTTTACCATATTGATGTATGACTTTCTGGGTTTTTTGAAGCACTGGTATATAGAACGATTGAACTTGAAAGGCTCTTCAGTGGCTTCATAGGACCTTAAGAAGATTGTCCTATGCAAAACCTCTTTTTTAATGTTGGTTTAGTTCTTCACCTAGCTCATTATGTATTCTTCATTATCTGCTCTACACAGATGCTCCATGGACAGTCCTGTTGGCCAACATCGAGCCGGAGTCGACTGCTGTAACCGTCAACGGGCTCATCCCGGCGCGCTCATACCAGTTCCGCCTGTGTGCCGTCAACGACGTTGGCAAGGGCCAGTTCAGCAAGGAGACTGACCGGTGAGCGAATCGCAGGATCCTAAAGCCTGACGAGTATTACAGCTGTGCCCTGTTTGACCATAAAGATAACTCTATCACTCTGTCACAGCATGTGAATATTGCCTGTGCTCTCGTGGGACAGTGTCTATAGGAGGATTTATCTGTCTGAACACTGTGTGTATATGGCTGTATTTTTCTGGGATGTGTTTATGTGTGTCAGTGTATCTTCCAAGGATCAGTGTAATCAAAGCCCCCGGCGTGTAAAGAAAGCTTTTCGACACCTAAATTAGACATTCAGCAAATTCCCCCATCAGAACGGACACAAATCCCTCTAGTTCTCCTGAGGTTTGAGACAAACCTCTTCTAGCCGAGATAATCCAAACTCAGAATATACAGGTGAAAACCGGCTTATATAAAAGAGAGAGATCATATTATGACTATATTACACCTTAGACGGTATATATCAGAGATGAACCATTTGCATTATAATGAATAGGAGAAACTGTCTAGAATGAAAGAAGTCCCGCCTTCCAAGTAAAAGAGCCAATGGCTAGTCAGCAGTTTCATTGTTTGGTGTTTGTGATAGTTACAGACTGGACCAATCTGAAAAGAAAAAGAAAATAAAACTGTTTTGAATGTTATTTTAACCTAAAAACTACATTTACGATACCAATGTCTGTAATGCTAATTTGAAATTGCGTTTTTGCTGTGACCTGACTTTCCTTGAAAGAGACTTTGGTTACATCTGAATCTCCTGGTCTTAATTTATATTAGACAACATTTTGTAATGTTATATTAGCATTTTTATAATGTGAATTATTATCTTGTGTTAATCTTTAAATATTATCTTTTGTTTAGTGGTCAACCGATATATCGGTGAAGGCAATATATCGGCCCATATTTGGCATTTACAAAGAATGTAAATGGTATAAAAATATACCATTACCTGGTCTTTGAGAAAATGTATTTACCAGTATATAATGATTATTATTATACTTGAGTTTATAACTATTTGTTTATTAGTGAAAAATACTATAATAAGGTTACAGAATTTAGAAGTTCTGTTTATTTATTTTTTTATTTTTTTGTAATATTTTGTAAAATAAATATACATTTCTTTGCGTTCTAAATGTCATTTACCTTTAAATTAAATAGTATTTTATATATCGGCTTTATATTGGCCATCAAAAAATCCATATTGGTTGATCCCTGCTCGTGTTTATCTTCTTTCTCCAGGGTGTCTCTTCCAGAGGAGCCACCCAGCGCTCCGCCTCAGAACGTCATTGCCAGCGGCCGCACCAACCAGTCCATCATGATTCAGTGGCAGCCGCCACCAGAAAGCCACCAAAACGGCATCCTGAGAGGATACATCATCCGGTGAGACATGTTTACTCATGTCTGGGGTCTTGCAGTATCTTAAACCCTTCTCTGTTTTTTGCACGTTTCACTCTTAATCTTTTTTAATATGTTTTTCCAAGGCTGTGCCAATATGACTCTTTTCCAGCCGGTCTAGATTCTCTTTCCCCACAGCTGGTTTGTGGGTGAATTTGATTGTATTGTATTATTTCAAGGCTACTTCAGGATTTGAGCACTTCAGGGCTTTGTCCTTGCTGTCAGCGATGACAGTGAAATGGACTTTTTGTTCATTTATTTATATATTTTTCCTGTTCATCACTGAGGAAAGCTGAAGGCCGTTTTTGGTATTGCAAACATAAGTAATGGTACCTGACCTTGGTCGCCCCATATGGTCCTCAGCTCAGTTCAGGGAAAACACACAGAATGCTATGACATTTCTAGAATGGTTCTCTGTCTCCCTCTGTTGCTTACAGATGGTACTGCAGTACAAAAACCAACAGATCTGATTATGATTATGAGTAAATGACAAGGTGTATTTTTTGAGATGCTTATCAGAGCCCTTCAGAGAGGGTTATCTGGAGGAAATTATCTGCCCTGTCAAAGCTTTCTGTCTGTTAAGATCAGAAATCTCTGCATCTGTCCTTGACAATATGACCATCTGCTAATCTCAGGTATCGTCTGACCGGTCTGCCTGTGGATATCCAGTATAAAAATATCTCTAACCCTGATGTCACCAACCTGCTTCTGGAGGATCTCATCATCTGGACTAATTATGAAATTGAGGTGGCGGCATATAACGGAGCTGGACTGGGTGTTTACTCCCATAAAGTTACAGAGTGGACACTCCAAGGAGGTGAGGGTTTAGAGATCCCATTCAAAAGTTTAGCATCAGTAAAACTGATTGATTGATTGATTGATTGATTGATTGATTGATTGATTAAATGTTTGAAAATGACAGTAAAGTCATTCATAAAACAACTTAAGGTTTTTACTTCAAATAAATAACGTTTTTTTTTTACTTTTTACATTTATCAAACAATCTTGAAAAAAAAAAAGTATATATCACAGTTTGCAGAAAAATAATAAACAGCAGAACTATTTTGATTGATTGATTGATTGATTGATTGATTGATTGATTGATACTTTTATTCTTAAAATGTTTGAAAATGACAGTAAAGTCATTCATAAAACAACTTAAGGTTTTTACTTCAAATAAATAACGTTTTTTTTTTACTTTTTACATTTATCAAACAATCTTGAAAAAAAAAAAGTATATATCACAGTTTGCAGAAAAATAATAAACAGCAGAACTATTTTTAACATTGATAATAATAATAAATATTTCTTGAGCACCAGATCATATTAACACATTAGAATGAAAAATGGCTGGGGAAAAAAACAGAAAAAATGGCTCACAGAAATAAATTCTATTTTTAAATATATATTAAAATAGAAGACAATATTTTAAAATGATACTAAAGTTTCACAATATTATTGTTTTTGTGTATTATTGATATTATATTATTATCTTATATTATTGATTAAATAAATGCAGCCTAGCTGAGCATAAGATACTTTCACAAACAATGGAACCGATTGGAAACAATCGGTTCCAAATTTCCAATAATCGGGTATTCGATAAGACGTGCATTTTGATTCCACTTAACGATTCCCGCATTCGCATTTTAATGTGATTTTAAACTATTTAAGTGCAGGAAGGGAAAGAACTTGCACACTGTTTGTGTGCAGCGCACACATCTGAAGCGCGAGCACAGAGAACAGTGGTCCCGATGCATGTTCCCGACCTGTGTCTGTTCTTGAACTGTTCCGTGCATTTCCACAAAGGTTGTTCCAGGCCAGAACTGACTTCTCTTTCACATTTATCGACCAGTATGCACGAAATACGTCAGTATATCATCATAAACACAGCCGTTTTTTTTGTCTTAAGTGAATGTAAACAGATGAGAAAGAAAACACATGTGTAACAGTATTTTTAGATCTGTGTGTGTTCGGTGTTAAAGAGACAGTCGTCTAATAAACGTGCTGCCTATCATTAATGTTAATCAAAGAACAAAAGAAAATCATTGACTGAATATCTTTCGTAAATTTAATGAGGATTAATCAATATTTTATTTATGAAAAGAAAACTATACAGTGTTTTTAAACTTTTTATTTCAGAATCTGTACCTGACATTTGTTCAGTTTTATTTATTTATGCTATTGCTAATTAATTTGTTTACTTGTCTAACAATTTAATGTTTGAAATTTGTATTAGTCTAGTTGTTTTTTTTTTCTGTGGTATTTTTTTGATAAAACCATAGACATAAAACAGAATAAATATGTTTGACATCTAAATATTTGACTTAAAATGTGTTTAATGGATTTTTTTATCTTATTGGAATCGAAATTAGGAATCGATAAGAATCGGAATCGATAAGCAGAATCGGAATCGGTAAAATTCAAATGATACCCAACCTTAGACCTTTTTTGAACATTCATTTGTGTATTTACTGATTTTTTAAATGCTTTTTAAGGAATAAGGTATCAAAAAATATTTACTAATAATTATTAGTAAATGACATTATTTTAAACCTGTATGTTTTTTTTTTCAATCACGAATGGATCATTTATGTAAAGTATTCTCTTAGCTCCTTTCCATGAAATATTGGTTTCAAAAGGACAAAAAGTACTTCATGCAACTTGTGCACTAAATTCAAAGTTTTGTGAAGTCGTACAATAGTTTTGTGTAGCAGACTAAAATTGTAATTGTTATTTACTGAAAATCAAAGTTTGAGGTCGCTGTGAACCGTCGTTGAGTAAAGAGCAGCGTAAAAAATCTTCAAAATTGTTTTCCGTGGAAAAATGACAGTGTATGTGTTTTGGAACAATATGAGGCATAGTTGAGTAATAATTCCTTTAAAATATCACTGCTTAGTTGTGAAGATGCTGCTGTGTGCCATCTATAATTTGCGAAGTCAGAGCTAATGAATCTTCTCCGTCAATTTTCTGGGGTGTAGCAGCCGAAATGGGTTACCAAAAAAATAAGTCTCATTTGTTTCCGTCACTGTCTTCCATTTTCCATTTTACCTGTCAACTAGTTCCCACCATCGCTCCAGGCAATGTGAAAGCCGAGCCCGTCAACTCCACCACAATACGCTTCACCTGGACAGCCCCGAACCCGCAGTTCATCAACGGCATCAACCAGGGCTACAAGGTAAACGCTGAAGGAATGAGAAGAAATCTGCACTCAGACCTGAGCTGCTGAAAATGCATTAAACGCAGCTTTTATTTTTAGGTTATGTAGTTTGTTGAGGAGATTTTTAATGCGAGGGTAGCCAAAGGTCTCTTTCAGCTCCTATATGCTCATTCCTTTGTTTTTGTTTTTGCTGAGAGATCCGGAATTGATCCTCCTGTCACTCTGCTTCTTTATAGCCAGACTGTCTGCGGACAAAATTGTTTAGGACAATTACAAAATGGAGACAGTCAGCCGGACACATTAGTCTTAATAGCTTATTAGCCAGGTTTAGGCTCGGTCCCAGACAACAACAGCTGGGATTGGAGAGAATATTTGTCGGCAGGCTTTTTCTTCTCTCTGTGGACTCGTTGGAGAACAATCTTATAACTCTCATTCCCTCTTTAGTGCCCTCAGAGGAGAGTTTCAAGTGTCTATAAACTTTGAAATGGCAAATCATCCACAATAGTATTGAGAAAAGGGAGGAAATCTTTGACCGTTCAGCCATTCTCAGTGGAGAATAAATCTAGCGCTCTGATAGTGTTATTTGAACACCATTATGCAAATTAGGCATTGGTGCAAACATGCCCACAAAATGTGTGTCAGTGCTGTTCAATTTTGCACACCAGTTCTAGATTATGCAGGTTATGGAAGATGTCATATTTAGTCTTTCTTTCTTTCTTTCTTTCTTTCTTTCTTTATATATTCTTTCTTTCTTTTTTCCAGACATCAGAATTAGCTTAATAAAAGTATAGCTTAAAAAATAGCTTGACTAAAACATTTTGGTCTTCTCCAATCTCGAGGATGCAGCTTTTATTTTATTTTATTTTATTTATTTATTTTTATTATTATTATTATTATTATTCTTATTATTAATATTATTATTATTTTATTTGTATTTTTTTACTAACTATTGTGACCCAGACATCAAAATTAGCTTAAAAATGCTTTAAAAAAAACAGCTTGACTAAAACATTATCTTGCTCTTTTCCATTCTGGAGGATGCAGCATTAGGACTATATACTATTTTATTATTTTTTTAACTATTATTTTATGTCACTGTTGTGACCAAGACAATAATAATCAACTTAAAATGTTTGATTTAAACCATTATTATTGGTCTTGTCCATTTTTATCAATTCTGCAATGATAGCTAGACAATGTTCAAAACAATAAGGAAACAAGATAATAATTAATAATATTGAAAAATTAACATAAAAAGTAAAGTAAAAGAAAGAAAGTAAAGTATAAAAAAAGTAAGTCAAAGTAAATAAATATCCAAAACTGGATACTTTATTAATCTCTCGCTCTTTTTAGCTGTTAGCATGGGAGCCAGGAAAGGAAGATGAGATGACGATAGTGACGGTTCGGCCGAACTTCCAGGACAGCGTGCATGTGGGCCACATCACCGGCTTAAAGAAGTTTTCCGAGTACTTCACCTCTGTGCTCTGCTTCACCACACCAGGAGACGGTCCTCGCAGTCCTCCACGACGTCTGCGCACTCATGAAGACTGTGAGTTCCTGTTCCAACACACACACATTCACACTTTACATGGTTATTGTTGATGTTCAGGGCTTTCCATTTCAAGAACCAGTGGAAGCAGGATGACCTCTGACCCTGGTTTTAATGGAAACCACACTCACATCTCACAGTCTGATCTCTGGCCTGTATTTTCAGCCCCTGGTGCTGTGGGTCACCTGAGCTTCACTGAGATTCTAGACACTTCTCTCAAAGTCAGCTGGAGAGAGCCCAATGAGAAGAACGGCATTCTGACTGGTGAGTTATCAACAAATATTTCTGTTACGGAAATGATATTCGTTCCATTGATGCCTTGTAAAAAAATCATAGAATTTTTCTTATATTGTTTTTAGAAAACGTTTTTTTTTTTTTTTTACTATTTGAGGATTTAAACATCATATATTAATCTTATATATAATATTTAATGTATAATGTATTTGTATTATTTGTATTATCAATGTACAATGTATTTGCTAGTTTTTATTTATATCATAAATGTATGAATGCATGTAATAACTTTCAAATATTTTATTTAAATTGTATTTAATTATTTTATTTTATATTTATTATTTAATTATACAACAACAAAAATAACAAAAGTTAACTCCTCAATTTCTAGACCACAACACTAGTTTAATTCTCTGAAATGAATATACAAATTTTGCAATATACAGTATGTGTTTGTATTCATTTAAAATAATTACAAATAATTATTCCCAAAATATTTCCAAAGTTAACTTCTCAATTTCTAGACTTTAACCCTGGTTTAATTCTCTGAAATTAATAAAGAATATTGTTTTATTTTTTTATTATTAATTTCATACAATTTATATTATAACATAATATAATAATATAAAATATTTCATATTTGTTTCCTAGGGTATCGTATATCATGGGAGGAGTATAACCGTACTAACACACGGGTTACACACTACCTGCCAAATGTTACTCTGGAATACAGAGTCACTGGACTGACCGCTCTCACCACTTACACCATTGAGGTGGCTGGAATGACCTCCAAGGGTCAGGGTCAGCTGTCATCTTCAACCATCTCTTCAGGAGTACCGCCAGGTAAAGCACACACATGCACAAACCAGTCAAAACATCAAACTAGTAAAACCAGACCGGAAAGGCTAAACATGGTCTAACAGGGGAAGAGAAAACAACATACTCTTTCCATGAGTTCCCTCTGAACTAGCTTTAGACCACCACTGGTTTTAGAGCTCCCATTAAAGGACTACAGAGGCTTATAAAGTTAAACATCTGAGCCCTCGTTATTGCATCGATGCAGCACCAACACATGCAGCCCAGAGCCGCAGAATAACTGACAGGAGGAGGCCCTGGCTGCGTGGAGTTCACGATTACGACTCCCACGACAGAGATCGTTTCTTCTTTATTGTTTCATTAGATGCTCTGTGGCTTCCAGACTCAAACCATGTACAAGTCGCACACATTCAAAAGTAGATGTAGACGTATAAAGATGAACGGTCATATTCTCGCATCATGTTACCCTTATTACCCAAAGTTATGCAGAGCCTGCTGCTTTCATGACATCCCCACAGTGTTTTATTGGAGGCATATTTCATCTTCTGATAATAAGCTGGGTAGCAGCTGTGAGTGTGGAATGATTTGTACCAAAGTTCTCGTTCATTTCTGCCTTTCACACAGACATTGAACTGTGGGAAAACTGTTTTTAAAGTATATTTAGAGCTGCTTGCTATGGTTGCAGTGTAACAACAACCATAGATATGTATAGGCAGATGCCACATTCCACCACCATCTTGAAACAGTCAATTTGTCGTCACTCACAGTAAAAATCAATGAGATTTCCAAGATGCCACAACATTGTGCAGCCTCTGGTTGTAAAAACCAACATTTAAATTCCTGAAGTAATGAGATTAATTTCACAGGTAAGACTGGTCATTCATTGTTTATTTATTTATCTGTATACAAAGCCTCATTTTACCAAAAGGGGGAGCCATAACACAGCCAAACATTTTCACAATTCAACATTTCTTTAATGTTTGGATCCTGAAACAATCTGTTCTACTCAGCATTTATTGCCAGATTATATTCAGGACTAAATAAAAAAAAAAAAAAATGTAATGTAATGTTTTGTAAACTAAAACTCACTTTTCTCTCCCAATACAGAGCTTCCTGGGCCTCCCACAAACTTGGCCATCTCAAACATTGGTCCTCGATCGGTAAACTTGCAGTTCAAGCCAGGATACGACGGCAAGACCTCAATTTCTCGTTGGCAGGTGGAGGCCCAGGTGAGTCACTCGTTATTCACGAGGGTGAAGTTTTAAAATTGTTGATTTGATCTTTGTATGAACCTCTCTTTTGCATGAATCTCTCTCAGGTGGGTGTCATTGGAGAGAATGAGGATTGGGTGATGGTCCATCAGCTGGCCAACGAGCCTGATGCTCGCTCTCTGGAGGTCTCCGGCCTCAACCCCTACACCTTTTATAGGTGACGCATACATTTATTTATTATTATTTATATATATATATATATATATATATATATATATAGTGTGTGTATCATTTTAAATTGACTAAGTTTTAATTTTGTAATGGGCTTTTATCATTTTTATTGTACTTTTCAATATTTCTATATAGTTTTAATTTATTTTTATTTCAGTTTTAGTGGTTTTAGTACTTATTTAGTTCACTAATGAATAAATACATATCTCAGTATTAAATGAGTAGTTGGTACTTTATTTACTTCGTTAATACTTATTTCAGTTAGTTGGCAAGGCAACATTTTGTCACGGTCCGTGTGGAGAGATGAGGCGAGGATTCAAAGATGCAGTAAATGGGCTCTTAATTAATAACAAAAATAAACAAAACTAACAAAAGCTACCCCGAGGGTAAAAACAGGCAGGAAGGCCTGGGGCCCGTTCTTCGTACGTCACTAACTCAGTTAGCTAGATTTGATTGTTGATGATTTGGCATGATCTTGGATTGTTTGGTTCTTCGAAGAGCAACAGGTCCGTAAGCTTAAACCTGCTCTAGAGCAGGCTTATTTCATGTAAACAGGTTTAGATCGCATCTTTTTAAGCAGAATTGATACTTAAAATCTGTCCGCTACCACCGCTACTTTATTACAAGAGTACCCTACTAATCCAGGGACAATAATTTAGAATAATAATCATTTAAAAATTAATTTAAAGATAATATATTGTTGTGTAGTCTTTAATACTATAGACACAGCCTGAAAACTCGCTGAAGATTTATTCGTCATAAAATAATTACTTCATAATTGTATTCGAGTCTTACACAGATAATGTAGAGTCATGCATTAATTTGAGTGGTGACAGCTATTATGGGAGTGGCTTGATGGAGCACAGGAGATGCAGATAACATGATTTTGACCCTTAAGAAACTTTAATTAATGCGGTCACTTAACAAATATGTTCAAATATAAAATTTAATTTGAAATATGAATTGCTAATTACTACATTGAAATAAAAATGTAAAGCTTGTACAAATACTGGAAATCGTGAATAGAAATAATTGGGAATCATGTAAAAAATTAAAATAAAATAAAAACGGTGCACATTTCATTTATCGATTATAACATTTATGTAGTTTTGTTCGCTTGTCTGTCTTTATAAAGGTCCAGAAATGTGTCAAGTTTTTCATCAGGTGTCTTTTTTAATTATATGATGTAAATAAGCGACGTACGAAGACCGGGCCACAGAATAAGGAGCACACAGACACATCCAACCGCATATGACAAATAACGAAACAACACAGGGCTGCAAACACAGGGAGAAGTACGGCAGGTAATGAGGGAGACACAGGTGGAATAACTGAAACAATAATGAGGTAACAAGATGGGCGGGGTCAGACAATCGACAGGAGAAAGCACATGCCACCAAACAAACACGACACAAGCCATGCGCTTACACAAACACACAGTGTCCTCTGGTGGCCATCCTGGGCACACCAGCTGAAGACTGTGACACATTTCTAATTTGTTGTCATCAAATATTTATATTTAATTTGTTTATATTTATTTTTTAATTTCAGCTTTATGTCCATTATTGAAAAATATTTTTAATAGTTTTACATTTAGTTTTAGTTAACAATAACAACACTGCTTATCATTAGACCACCCTAGATGAATTTGAATCTAAATCAGGCCATTGAAATAAGTGTATAATGGGATTTGCAGGTTCCGTATGCGTCAGGTGAACATAGTGGGCACCAGTCCACCCAGCCAGCCTTCCAGAAAGATCCAGACCCTGCAGGCTCCTCCTGATATGGCTCCTGCAAATGTCACCCTGCGAACGGCCAGCGAAACCAGCCTCTGGCTCAGATGGGTGGTATGTTCTACAATCAAAACAGTACACTCACACATTGTGTGGCATTGAGACTGTTACACAAACTCAATCTCTCTCTTTTTCGCCTGTTGATCAGCCTCTTCCTGAATGGGAGTACAACGGGAACCCAGATTCGGTGGGTTACCGTGTGCAGTACAGCAGGACCAGAGCTCAGTCCAAAGCCCTGCTGCACATCATTGCAGATCGCCTGGAGAGAGAGTTCACCATCGAGGACCTGGAGGAGTGGACAGAGTATGAGGTCAGAGTTCAGGCCATCAACGGCATTGGAGCAGGACCCTGGAGTCAACCCGTACGGGGAAGAACCAGAGAGTCCGGTAAGGACAAACCAGTAATCTTGTATTTTTTTATTCATATTTATTTATTTATATATATATATATTTTATATTCTACATATTTTACATTTACACTTTTTTTACTTGTAATATTTACAAACAGAATTTGTTTACTATATTTTGATAAGGGCATTAAAATAAATGTTGTTATTTTTATTATTTTTATTATTATTATTGAACATTAGGCATGCTTGGTATCATAATGTAAGTAACAATAAAGATAAAGTAATTAATTGCAATAAACTTAGTTCCGTAATTAAAAAGTATTAGATATAAAAATTGAAATATGTGCAAGCTGATGTGCTAAAATAATTCAAACTAGAACTGAAATAAAACAAATCTATCTAAATAAAAAAACTAATAAAAATGACAAAAGCATGTAACAAATTACTAAAACTACAATTTTAAATCAAAACTAAAATATATTAAATATATATATATATATAATTCAATAGTATTAATAAATACTTTAATAGCATATAAATAATACTAAAATAACACTGATATATCTGTTATTTTATAGCTTCAAGCGTCAGATTTTGGAGCTGGAACTGTCCATTTTATAATATGGAATGGAAAAACTTTTCATTGATCACATGTTGAGGTTAATGCATGTCTTAAATCATTCATCATATATAGTACGTGGGCACATGATTTCCTGTTTAAACAGGCTTAAATGGGCACAGATCTGCACACACATGCAAGCCTTTTCATTCCTCCTGTGCCATGAAAGAGAAGCAAACACACTTCCTCTGGATCACCTGTTTTTCTCTTTCTGCTCAGCTTGTTCTCCATGGTTACCAGAATTCAGTGAAATGGGTTTGGGATTAATAAGTGGGTGCTGAGGAAATTGGTAATGCATGGGGCTGTACACATGACTCCCCTGTTGTTCTTTAGCCAATCAGATTACCGCAATCATGCACTCTGTGTCCAGGGATTTGTGCCAGAGAGTGATTCTCTGTGTTACTCCCCCAATAATGGTCAAAATCTGGTGTCTTTCAGGCTTCGCTGCCTTTGTGATACTGTATGTGTCCGGCTATCAGCACACTCTTAATCCTCCCCCAGCACACACACACACACACATATAGATATAAGGCACATATTTCAACCCCATTAAGGACTTGGAATGCATAGACGTATACAGAAAGACTAATTTAGCCATATATGCCTTTAGCGAACACATTCATCTGTATGAACCCATCTGTCTGCCTTTGTTTTAATGCAGTCCCCTCTTGTGGCCCCACAAATGTTTCTGCATTTGCCACTACCTCCAGCAGCATTCTGGTCAGCTGGTTTGAAGTTCCCGAACCCGACCGGAATGGACTCATCTTGGGCTATAAGGTCTGTGAGCACTTTCAAGTGAAAAAAACACCATTCGTTAAAACTAAGCTGCAAAAATGACAAATGAAATTAATACATTTGAATACTTGACTGCAAAACACATGCAAAACTCGTGCAATTGAAAGTGAATGGTGGAAGTCTCACACATTCAAAGGAAACAGCTTATTTCCGTTAGGCAAAATAATTTTGATACGTCTCTTTTTTTTATATTTTCAGGTGGTGTATAAGGAGAAGGATTCAGACTCTCCTCTTAAGTTCTGGATGGTGGAAGGAAATGCCAGCCACAGTGTTCAGCTGACCGGACTGGGAAAGTATGTTTTGTACGAGATCCAGGTGCTCGCCTTCACCCGCATTGGAGACGGCCGACCCAGCACTCCTTCAATCCTGGAGCGAACCCTTGATGATGGTGGGCATTACAATACACAAAAAAACAAACAGTTGCCTTATTAAATAATCAGATGTCTTTACAAGTTTATGATGTTCTTATTTTCAGTGCCTGGGCCGCCGGTCGTCATTCTTTTTCCTGAAGTCCGGACCACCTCGGTCAGACTCATCTGGCAGCCACCTTCCCAGCCCAACGGCATCATACTGGGTACAAGAGTTTGTTTGCTTGTTTGTGCATTTGAGTGTGCATGCACTTCTTTCTTCTGGTGTTTATACTTACATGCTTGTCTTCTGAATGACCTCTTTTGACCATCAAGAGATGAAACATCCCTGAATACTTTCAACAGTGACTGTTAACGTGCAAAAAAACACAGAGTATCACATTAAAATAATTTATCCTATTTTTCAACCATATTTACATTACCTTTCATATTTTGGGTTCGGTATGATTTTTCATTTTCTGTTACTGTATGTTTACCAATGCTGCATTTATTTGAAAAAAGTACACTAAAACAGTAAATTGTGAAATATTATCACAAATTAAAATAGCTGTTTTCTATTTAAATACATTTTAAAATTTAGATTTTTGCTATGATGGCAAAGCTACATATTCTGGAGTCATTACTCCAGTCTTTACCATCCCATCCGTGATCCTTCTGAAAGCATTGTAATATGCTGATGTGGCGTTCAAGAAACATTTCTCATTATTATCAGTTTTGAAAACTGATGTGCTGCTTAATATTTTTGTGAAAACTGTAATATGTTTTGTTTTTCATGATAATTTGATCAACTAAAAGTTCAAAGAACAGCATTTATTTGAAATAGACATATTTTGTAACATTAGAAATGTTATTACTGTCACTTTTGATCAATTTAATGCATTATTGCTGAATAAAAATATTAATTTCCTTAAAAAAATCATACTGACTCCAAGTAAAAAAAATAAAATAAATAGTGTAATTGCTTCCACTCTTAAGCAGCCCCATTGTAAACGAAATCACATTCGTTTTGCTTTTGCTCATTAGCTTGCGTTTCCTCTCAAGGCAAGCCAAATGTTACATTTCCTCAACTGCACGCAAGGAAAAGTACAGTTTGCCCTGTCCTGATCTCTGTGATGTCATCGGTTCCCTCTCCAGCCTATCAGATCACATACCGCCTGAACTCTACCAATAGCAACACAGCCACGTTTGACGTCTTGAACTCCAGTGCACGGCAGTATACTGTCACCGGACTGAGGCCGGAATCCGTGTACGTGTTTCGTATCAGAGCGCAGACACGCAAGGGATGGGGAGAGGCAGCGGAGGCTTTGGTGGTCACCACCGAGAAGAGAGGTAATGTACAGTATTGTCACACATCAGCAAGACAAGCTCAAACTGAGCAGTATGTCTGATATTAAGCAAGAAATGAATTATAAATGGTTAAAATTAAACCGAAAACGTCCCTATCCATATGATCTTATTGTCACAGGTTCATGTAATCAGATCTAAAGTGCATGTTTGTGTGTTCATGTCTCTGAACGGAGACGTCTACGGTCCGCTGAGGTCAAGTCCAAAACAAATCAATCCCTTTTAGCCAGACCCGCTTTGGTGTGGTTTGAGACGCCTGGCAGAAGTTCTGCTGCACTGACTTCCACTCAAGCAAAGGCACATTCTTCTTACAAAGCATTATAATCAGACTTTGGGTTATTTATGCAGTTCACTGATCCAACGTAGAGATCAGAGGTTTTGACTCGTAAAGTGTGCTTATATAATGTAATATTAGAGTCATAAATTCTCCATAATCTAATGTATTTTTTAAAACGTTAACCGTGTTCTGCAGGATTATAAGTGTGCAGTGAAGCAGTGATAATATTGTATGACTGCACACATAAAACTAGGGTTGGGATGATAATTTAAAGCTAGCTTTCCAGGCTACAAGTTACTCATAATTTAAAGAAGTTACACAATTAAGTTACTATCTGAAAAAGTAGTTTGCTACATTAAAATTGCTAACCAAAAGTAGCTCAACTAAATAAGCCTCAATATATTAAACTAAATAGAAGCTATTTAAATTGTCATTTGCTATTACTAGTATCAGGGTAAGGGGACAAACAAATTCTAAAGATAATTTTATGGACAAAAATTTGAATATAGCTTTGAGATGATAATTTTTAAATTAATTTTCATGTATCAGATTCAATGCAGTTTATAAAACAAGATAAGTCGTAATAGATAGAGTTACAAACGTTTAAATATTTTGCCTTCTGTGAAGGGTCTAGTGAATCGTTTATATGAACCGTTCAAATAAATGATTGACGTTAAACAAATGGATTCACAAAAATGATAGGAATGTGTTTGATTATTGGCTTTAAGGTTTTAAGTGTGCTTATGCTTGACCTTTGACCCCCAGCTCGGCCACAACCCACCAGCCGGCCCACAGTCCCACAGGAAAACGTACTGGCACGCAGTGTGCTGTTGTCATGGGAACCCGGCAGTGACGGTTTATCTCCGGTCCGGTATTACACGGTTCAGGTCAGAGAGCTGCCTGAGAAGAACTGGACCATTCATTCTGCGTCTGTTAGCCACGAGTCCAGCTCCTACATTGTTGACAGGTACAAAAGACATCTGCTGGGAAGTTTTGTGTGATTTGATTCAAAAGTCCTTCATGCATGAAGTCACAGTTCTTCACAGCACAGATTTTCCATTAACAAGTGACGTTACTTTGTTAGTCATTGTAACTTTATACTGGCTTTACGCAAAGCATATTCTGAGCAGTGGCCTGTGTTTTGACTTGTGTGTGTGATTTTTATTTCAGACTGAAGCCTTTCACCTCCTATCAGTTCAGAGTGAAGGCCACTAATGATATTGGAGACAGTGACTACAGTGAAGAGAGTGAAGCCATTACAACACTACAGGACGGTTAGAACATTTAACCCTTCCCTCTTCTTGTACTCTTTATCAATGTTTTATTCAGCCGATATCAATTGCCCATTCCCACAAATTTGCACACTCTGTTTCAAAACCTAGTGAGCTGCTTGTCTAGACATTGTAAGGCATCGTAAGCATTTCAAATGTTCTAGATGGTGTTCAAGACTGCCCAACCTAGTCTTTAGTTGGTCAGGCAGCTGGTCTTTTAGCCTACCCGGCTGACAAGTGCCCCAAACCCCTCTAAAATCTGCAAACCAGACCAACCTGTGCAGGTTGGGAGAACCAGCTTACAGTAGGCTGCTTTAAACTGCATTTTTCAGCAGGGTTGTTATGACCAACATTGAAGTCAGCATCTTATATGTTCTGTAAAACAGTGTAACAAAAAACATTTTTGGGAGACGCTGAATCAAATTATTTTGAAACTGAACAAATGAATTACTGTTTACAAACAAATGCTTAGCAGTGTCATTTGGTTCCTCTGGCACGCTGTAATAAATTAGTGTTTTATTCAATTTGAGGACTAAAAAGTCTTGTTTGTGAGGTAAAAACACCCCTATCTTTCCAAAATATAGATATAAATAGTTTATAATAAATAGATATAAATGGATTATTTCACCTAATATTTGTGTGATATGTATCAGTAAGGTTTTTTTTGAGAGAGAGAGAAATTAATACTTTTATTTGGCATGCATTAAACTGAAAATGAACCAAATGATAATAAGAAATGTTTTTAGCACCAAATCTGCATATGCATATTAGTATGATTTCTGAAGGGTCATGTGACGCTGAAGACTGGAGTAATGATGCTGAAAATTCAGCTTTGCCATCGCAGGAATAAAATACATTTTAAAATAAATAATAATAATAAAATTGTAATAATATTTCACAATATTACTGTTTTTACTGTATTTGTTGATCAAATTAATGCAGCCTTGATGAGCATAATTCAAAAATTCCTTTTCCTATATAGACAGTGTTGCAGCTCACTGGGTTTTAGGAACAGAGCCATTAAGCACATATTCTTCTCTACATGGTCCCGCCGCCTTCTTGTCTCTGAATATATACAGCCGAATCATTCTGTATGTGATGTGCGTTTCATGAATTGACCATTATGCAGCACACAGATGCTCTTCTGTCTGTATTACGAGAACTTGGCTTTACAGTCATGATAGCAGCCAAGCACTTATTGTGAGTCCAGGTGATGCTATTGTGTGAGGCAGTAGAATAAGTGAGGTAATACAGTATCTCTGGTTGCTGTGAAGCAACTTTAGTGAAGTGAGACGGGCCGTGCATAATGCCTGTTTAAAACCCAACACAACAAATCAGGCTTAAAGACACTGTAGCTGATGCAGCAAAACATTCACAGGGATGCCAGGTACACAATTATATTTCTGTCCCTCTCCATTTAAGTGTATCTCTCTTTTTCCAGCTCCTGACGAATCTCCCACAATCCTGACTGTCACGCCACACACCACAACCTCTGTGCTGATTTGCTGGCAGGTAAGTGGGCGGGTGTCACAGTCTTCAGCGGGTGTGCCCAGGAGGGCCACCAGATGACTGTGTTCTGGGAGCACATGGCTTGTGTTGTGTTTGTCTGTTGCCATGTGCTCTCTCCTGTCTATTGTCTGGCCCCTCCCATCTTGTTACCTCGTTATTGTTTAAGTTGCTCCACCTGTGTCTCCCTCGTTAGCCTCCTCGTTTGGTTCCTATTTATTCTCCTGGTGTCTGTCATCCTGTGCTGATCAGTCATTTCTCATTGTGTGTGTTATATGTCTGCATGGAGTGCAGTTTTGAGCCTGCCTGTCTGTTTATCCCCCTCGGGGTGGTTTGAGTTAGTTTTTTCGCCAACGAGGGACTGAGCTGAGGGAGTTTGCCATGGACTTCAGGAATATGGCAGAGGGGCTGGGCTACAATGACGCTGCGCTGAAGGACTTATTAAATTATGCCCTGGATGAGTCCATTAGCCCCTGGAGCATGCTAGGATGCAATCATGTATGTTTTGAGGGGTTTGTGGAGTTCCTGGCACGTTCTTCAGCTAATGGTAAATATAAGCTGCCGCGCCCCCAGTGGTGGCCGAAGAGGTTGCAGCGCCCCCAGAGGCAGCCGATGAAGCTGCAGCGCTCCCGGTGGTGGCCGAAGAGGTTGCAGCGCCCCCGTGGTTCCTATTTATTCTCCTGGTGTCTGTCATCCTGTGCTGATCCATCATTTCTCATTGTGTGTGTTTCGTGTCTGCATGTGGTGCAGCTTTAGGCCTGCCTGTCTGTTTTTCCCCCTCGGGTGGTTTGAGTTTGTTTTTGTTTCATTTTTTTATTAAAATAAATAACCATTTCTCCTGCAATTGAGTCCTCGCTTCATCTCCCCGCACGCACCGTGACAGCGGGACTTTTCACTTACAGCCGCACCAGCCGTGCTTTCCATCATCGGTTTGTAATAACAGAGCAGGAGGGCATAGTATGTATCTTAAACACATATTATCAAAGTCACCCATAAATTATACTTTCAAAGAGGGCTGGTTGTAAAAGCTGCAGGCCTTTGGTTTACATTTTTATCCATTCAGTTGAAAAAAAGGTGAGTGAACTGGTTCCTCCACCAGAACTAGTTCAGTCACGCTTTATCGGGGGGATTTTTCTGATTTGCTTATTAAAATTGAGATTAGAATTAGCAAAAGTCTGGTTTATCCTTGCATTTATCCAGAGTAAAGATGTCTACCCTCTGGCAATTAGCAGCATACATGTTTACACAACCTCTAATTACAGTAGATGTACTCAACGTGATGCAACCCTAGACACAAATCAAATGGCAAAAGCTTAAAGGGGGCGGGACTGTCTTTACTAACCAATAGCAGAAGGAGCCATTCTGTTTGCCGTCACTAGTGGCACAGATATTCCACACTTCACCTTTAATGACACTGTTGATTATGTGTGGAGACATTCGCTCAGCATGTCCTGTCGTTCTTAGCCCCCTCCTGAGGAGAAGATTAACGGCATCCTCTTGGGCTTCCGAATCCGATATCGGGAGTTGTTTTACGATCGGCTCCGAAGTTTCAGCGCTCATGCCATCAGCAGCCCTTCAACCAGCTGGGCAGAACTCACATGTAAGCAGAAGTATCACTAGCAGTGTGTCTCTCAATGTGTACCGTAAACGAGACATGACCCAAAAATAAAGTATACATCTCTCAATTTTTATTTTTATTTTTTTTTTTTTGCACCTAAAATTTTTGTGATTATTTTAAGTTTAATAGTCTTTTATAATGATTAATGTTTTCATTGATTCATAGCCCAAATCATAAATATATTTAAAAAATGTAATAAGTTTTTTAATCAGTTTTTAAAAAAGTAATCAGTTGATTAATATTAGTATTAATCAATTTCAATATGTTCATTAATGGCTTGTTAGTTTAAAAGTATCATTTTAGTAGACTAAGCTTAATTTTATATGTAGTATTAACTATTTTAAAATATTTAAGATAATATCTCGCTCTCATTATTTTTATATTAACTAATATTTTAATTGATTCACAGCCCAAAACAATAAATATATTTGAAAAATTAATTAAAAAGTAATAAATAAATGTTCAATTAATCAGTTAATTAATATTAATCAAAGTTAAAAAATAAAATATTCATACAAACAAAATATCTTCATTAATGGCCTATTAGTTCAAAAGTATTATTTTTGTAAACCAAGCATAATTTTATGTTCAATATTAACTTTAAAAAAATATTTAAACTGGTTTCTGACTCTTCTTATTTTCCTGATCATATCTCCTATCAGCTCCATACAGCATACGGAACCTCAGCGATCCCTCACTCACTCAGTATGAGCTGGACAGTAAGTCACTTCCTGTTTCTTCTTGCTATTTTTTCCTTTTTGTCTTTCCCAGTCCATAAAGCTGATATATGATTGTGTCTAATCTAGTACATGTCAAGCCTTACTTAAGAGTTGAGAATAGGCAGTCTAGATGTTTGGGCTAGCTGCTGTTCTCACCTCACGTCTAGAGTGCTAATGCATTTAAGAGCTGCATCTGGTTTCTCTCTGCCGTTGATCTCTGCTGGAAGAGCAGTGTGTAAACTGAGTTTAGATAAGCAGACTGACTCATCTTTCAGGATGGGAGCTGACACAGTTTCCAGGGAAAGCCTGAGTCAAAGTTAATGGAACAAAGATGGTTGAGAAAGTGGAACATTTAATATAAAGTGAATCGCAGACATGACCCAAAAATAAAGTATACATCTCTCAAGTTTTATTTTTTTTTAATTTTTTTTGCACCTAAAATTTTTGTGATTATTTTAAGTTTAATAGTCTTTTATAATGATTAATGTTTTAATTGATTCATAGCCCAAATCATAAATATATTTAAAAAATGTAATAAGTTTTTTAATCAGTTTTTTAAAAAGTAATCAGTTGATTAATATTAGTATTAATCAATTTCAATATGTTCATTAATGGCTTGTTAGTTTAAAAGTATCATTTTAGTAGACTAAGCTTAATTTTATATGTAGTATTAACTATTTTAAAATATTTAAGATAATATCTCGCTCTCATTATTTTTATATTAACTAATATTTTAATTGATTCACAGCCCAAAACAATAAATATATTTGAAAAATTAATTAAAAAGTAATAAATAAATGTTCAATTAATCAGTTAATTAATATTAATCAAAGTTAAAAAATAAAATATTCATACAAACAAAATATCTTCATTAATGGCCTATTAGTTCAAAAGTATTATTTTTGTAAACCAAGCATAATTTTATGTTCAATATTAACTTTAAAAAAATATTTAAACTGGTTTCTGACTCTTCTTATTTTCCTGATCATATCTCCTATCAGCTCCATACAGCATACGGAACCTCAGCGATCCCTCACTCACTCAGTATGAGCTGGACAGTAAGTCACTTCCTGTTTCTTCTCGCTATTTTTTCCTGTTTCTCTTGCCCAGTCCATAAAGCTGATGTATGATTGTGTCTGATCCAGTACATGTCAAGTCTTACTTAAGGGTTGAGAATTTGCAGTCTAGATGTTTAGGCTGGCTGCTGTCGGCGGTCCTGTTCTCACCTCACGTCTAGAGTGGTAATGAATTTAAGAGCTGGATCTGGTTTCTCTCTGCCGTTGATCTCTGCTGGAAGAGCAGTGTGTACATTGAGTTCAGATAAGCAGACTGACTCATCTTTCGGGATGGGAGCTGACACTGTTTTCAGAGAAAGTCTGAGTCAAAGTTAATGAAACAAAGATGGTTGAGAAATTGGAACATTTAATATAAAGCGAATCACATTGTTTGTCTCTTTTAGTTTAGTTTAGTTTTTTTAAGTAGATAAAACTTGTTGTTGAGTGCCAACCATGTATGAAAAAACGGCCATTTGTGATTTTTGCTCTTCTGTAGATCTTACGAAACACAAGCGCTATGAAATCAGAATGAGTGTCTATAATGCTGTTGGTGAGGGACCAACTAGCTCACCGCAGGAAGTCTTTGTTGGTGAAGCAGGTAAAAACCTTTATCTTTATAAAGTTTTTCTTAGCTTACAAACAAAAAGGAGCAAAACTTCACCTCACACTGGTGTTCCCTCACAGTTCCCACTGCCCCGCCTCAAAATGTGATCATCCAATCAGCTACTGCCACGCAATTTGATGTAACGTGGGACCCGCCTCCACTGGAGACTCAGAATGGAGATATTCAGGGTTATAAGGTCAGACTCTGATGACTATGTGGAAAATGCTTTTAGTGTGACTCCCATGGATATTTTCTGCATGATGGCTATCTCTTGACCTTCTATGACTAATGGTTTTTCTGTCTTATTTAGACTGTATACTATTTACATTAAAACAAATTTATTTTGTAATTTGTCAGTAATATATATATATATGTGTGTGTGTGTGTGTGTGTGTGTGTGTGTAGAATGTACTAATTCATATTTTTTATAATGGATTTTCATAAGTTAAAAATGTCTGGGCTTGACACATGGGCAAAACACTAAAACCTATATGTAAAGGTCATTTTAAAAAGGTTGCAAAAATAAATGATGAGGCTTGGAAAATGTTTCCAAGAGCTTTATAATGTAACCTTTATATAATAGAAAGTGCTAGAAGCTAAAAAAAAATAGCCTAGAACACACATGCAAAACAATAATATGAGTGTGACCTATTGTTTTCTACTTGCAGATTTTCTTTTGGGAATATAAGCGTAAAAACGAGACCGAGAAACTGCGGACTCTCTTTTTGCCAGAGGGAGGGGTGAAGCTCAAGAATCTAACGGGCTACACCACCTACATGATCAGTGTTGCTGCTTTCAACGCAGCCGGAGATGGGCCACGCAGCCCACCAACCAGAGGAAGAACCCAGCAAGCTGGTGAGGAAACTTTAGACAGCTCTGTCCTTACCTGTCTTGTCCTGGAACTTCATGCATTATCACAAAAGTTAACAAAAACACTTGTTCTGGGTCATTTGCTAAATATGTGGTGTACCGAGTACTGTAAGACCACTATCGTAACTTCACTAGATAGATTTTTTCAGATTTTAAAGCTGAGTCATTTTACTTTTAATAATTTCATCTAAACTAACACAGTCGTAAAACTGCAACTTATTTTACGGTAAACACTAGGCTTGATACCGGTGTTAAGCCGCAACACCGGTTATGTCACTTGCCCACCGCGGCACCGACCCCCACCGTCGTTTTGATTTTTTATAGTAATAAAAATCATTACATCAAGGTGTATGCCGTGCCTCCAAGCTTTGCTACTCGTTTTGCTAATAAACGTTCAAATAATTTCATTATTTGTCCAAGACCTTCTGGAATGCTGAAAACTGGCCAAAAAATATCAAGAACTCAACAAGTTATCCTTTACTTCTAATCAGTAAATCTGCTGTCTGCGTTTGTTTGTGTGTATAGAGTTCGCTCTGATGAAGCGGAGTAATTTCTGCCTTATTCAGCCTTGTGGTTTTCATTCGGCATGCCTGTGAGTTGGCTCACGGCTCAGAGCGTCTGTGGGACACAGTCTCTAGATTGTTCTCTCATTCTGGAGGAGATGTTTGTGTGTGTCTGTATTTGTTTGTGTGCAGGGGCTGGGAAAACACTTTCCTTCCATAATTGTGCTAACATCAAATTGTGATTATTATAATCAGTTGGGGTCCACAATTAACACTTGCCAGTGGTGGGTTAATTGTAAAGTTACTATCAATAAATATTTTAACTGCCCATGAAATTTTGCATTATTTTTATTTTGAAAATATTTGAAATTTTAAATAAAGTTATTTAAAATTATTTAGCTATTGTCCTTGCTTATTTATGACAAACAGCACAGGTAATTTTGCGCTATCACTTACAAACAGTATTATTATAATACAGTATAATTTATATACTATTATAATGTTTAATACTATTTTGAATTACCTTTTTTATATTTAATTTTTTTTTTAATTTTAATTTAGTTTGTTTTAGTAATTTAGTTGTGTGCTTTTGTCATTTTTTCTTAGTTTTTGTTTAATATTTCTATTTATCTTTATTTAATTTAGTTTTTTACATTGTTATTTTACATATTAGTTTTACTTTTAGTTGATTATTTTATTTTTAAGTTGAAAAATTTAATCTAATATTTATATTTTATATTAGTTTTAACAATTACTTATTTAATTATTATTTTATATAGTTAACATTAACAAACATAAACTATTCTCTGTTGAAACAGCACCTGTCACAACTCCTTGATTTTATTCTTTATATGTAACCCTGGACCACAAAAGCAGTCATAAGAGTCAATTTGTTTTTAAATTGAGATGTATACGTCATCTGAAAACTGAATAAATAAGCTTCCATTGATGTATGGTTTGTTATGATAGGACAATATTCTGGAATCTGAGGGTGCAAAAAAAATCGAAATTATTGAGAAAATCGCCTTTAAAGTTGTCCAAATGAAGTCCTTAGCAATGCATATTACTAATCAAAAATTACAT